ACGGGATGCCGTGGGATGTTTTTTTTTTTTTTTTTTTTTTCCTCTTTCTTAATGATGGGTGAACCGCCATGAGCGGCAATGCATAATGATGGGTGAAACACCATGAGCGGCAATGCATGGGGGGTGTTAGGGGGAAAAGGTTGTATGGGTGCGGCAACGCCGGCAACGACGGGCTGCTGTGGGATGTGTTTTTTTTTTTTTTTTGCATGGGGGGTGTTAGGGGGAAAGGGTTGTATGGGTGCGGCAACGACGGGATGCCGTGGGATGTGTTGTTGTTGTTTTTTTCTAGCGGTGTTGGTTCCTTCTCTTGTTTGTTCCTTTCTTGGGGTGTTTTTTCTTCTTTCTAGGGGTGTTTTTATTTCTTGGGGAGAAATGGGTCTTTATGTTTGTTCCTTGTCTTGTTTGTCGTTGTGGTTGTTGTGGAACTTGTGTACCTTCTAGTGACTGTCCATCTTTTCCAGGTTGATTCATCGGTTGTTCAATGCAGTTCTTCGTCGTCGGTGCCGGAGTTCGTTTAAGTTTACCCTTCTTTAGATTTTCTTTGATCTGCACAACATGTCCGACCCACGAGGCAACACCGGGAAGGGCCCCGCGGAGTCCTTTTCGACAACGAGGAAGAGGTCAGACTGTAGTAAAAAAGGTCACAACACGAAGACATTTGACTCCCCTTTTACGGTAGATCAAAAGGCGGATGCAAAACGAGATGATCCTGTTCGGCATTCCGTTGCTCGTGGTCGTTATTTAGATGGATCCACTGCGCTCGGGAGGAAGAACAGTCGCCGTTGTATGTGCAGGTTATGCGGCCGTTCCATATGTGGGGGTGGTCGCGATGCGAAGGAACACTTTTTTCGTGGCGAGGGCTACAGATGCCCCGTGGCGACTCCGGCGGTGTGACACGCAATTTGGTCAAAGGATATGTCGAAGTGTCCTGCACAATTGGCTTCTGGCGTGCAGGCCTTGCAGATTCTCCCTTCAGGTCATCCCTCTTTCCAATGGCCACCGATTCGTTTTCCCAAGGACGTCATTCCACCACCCCCGTCGACCGCCCCCCCCTCGCAAATGGCGCTATCTCTACGTGCACCACATGCTCCGCTCCCCCCTCGTCCGCTGGCAGTCTCACCTGCACCGCTTCGTCCGACGATTCCCACATCCGTTGATGGCGCAACGGTGGTGATGCAGCCTGATGCGCAAGGCACCGTGCCAGTTTCGGGTGTTGGGGGACCTGTGTTGTTCGACGAGCCAGGGACTCGTGCTTTCGTCGAGGGCCGTGGGTGGGGGAAGGACACAAGCACATCAGTCGACCTCGCCCTGTTGTTCACTGACAACAAGGACAAGGTTGCAAGAGTTGGACGCGCAGCCGCACGTCCGCACGTGGCAGGACCATCCGCAACGGGACATTAATCCACTGCGTATCCATGGTTGTCGCCCCCTCCTTCGCAAACATGAGGACCTACACCAGACTTAACTTCGGCACCTCTTGGTGAGACCACTGCAACGGTCCCTGAGGGGGCGGGCAACGTCCCGCTCGACGAGCCCGTTCAGGTTTCGGATTCGTCACCCACTCCTGCGCCCGTGACCGCCCCAACCTCGCAACACTGTGTTTTTGGGACATTGGATCCTTTACAAAATTTGCGCAACATTGCAGCTCCGAGTCCAGGCCCCACCGCATCACCTGCGGCCGGCGGCGGGGTGTGGGATTTGCTAGGTTGCGGCGCCGGTGCACGAGTGAGGGGCACTTACAGGCAGGGTTGTTACGCGGGGATCCCCGGGGCCCAAGCCGGGGTAGGGGTTTCACCCCCGGACCCCCGTCGCGGGGCTACCTGACCCCCGTCCC